AGGTTCACTTCAATGTGAGAGACAGAATGGAAAAAAAATCCAGGAATTCACATTGTAGGATTTTTTAAAGAATTTATTTGTAAATGATGAGTGGAAAATAAGTAGTTGGTCACTTCAAACAAGGATGATCTCTGGCTTTCTCACAGACCTGTAACTTCTTCTTTAAGAAAGCTCTTCTTGTCCTTCCACTCGTTTTACCTGTATTAATGGCACTGTTTGAACTCATCTGTATAAAAAGACACCCTGTCCACAGGCCTCAAACAGTCAGACTCCATACTCCATATGGCCAAGACCAAAGAGCTGTCGAAGGACAGCAGGAAAAGAATTGTAGACCTGCACCAGACTGGGAAAAAAAGGTAAAAAAAAAAGTGAAAGTGTGAAAAAAAATAAGTAAAGTGGGGTTTGTTTAAAAAGTCGTTGTGATTGGGTTTTGGTTGAGAAAAAAAAAAAAAGTGATGTGCGTAGGTGTGGGTTGGATTGTTGGATGTTGTGATGTTGAAAGGTTTTTTGGGTGAAAAAAAAAAAAAGGTTTTGGCTTGATGCGTGTGAAAAAGTGGGTGTGTCTGGGTTTGGTGTCTAAAGGTGATCTACTAATTGGCAAGCAGCCTTGGTGTGAACAAATAAAATGTGGGAGCAAATTATCAGAAAAGGGAAGACATAAAAGATCACACTGTTAAATTGTGATCAAAAATCCACAGAACCACCGGGGGGGACCTGGTGAGATGTCCTGCAGAGAGCTGGGACAAAAGTAACAAAGGTTACCATCAGGAACACACTACGACGACAGGGAATCTATCCTGCAGTGCCAGACGTGTCTCCCCCTGCTGAGCCAGTGCATGACCAGGCCCGTTCCTGAAGTTTGCCAGAGAGCACATGGATGATACAGCAGAGGTTTGGGAGATGTTCTTGTGGTCAGATGAAACCAAAGTACAACTGTTTGGTATAAACTCAACTGTCGTGTTCGGAGGAAGAAGAATACTGAGCTACATCCCAAGTCACCTTACCTACTGTGAAGCCATGGGGGGTGGAAACGTCATGCTTTGGGGCTGTTTTTCTGCTAAGGGTACAGGCACGAATGATCGTTTTATTTTAGGAAAGAAAGAATGGGGCCATGTATCGTGAGACTTTTGAGCAACACTCTCCTGCGATCAGTGAGAGCTTTGAAGATGAAACGTGGGTGGGTCTTCCAGCAGACAATGATCCCAAATTCACACCGCTGTGTCGTCACCGGGCAACGAATAGGATTAGTGGCTCCGTAAGAAGCCTTTGAAAGTCCTGGAGCCAGTCTCCAGACCTCAAACCATTGAAAAATCTGTGGAGGGAGTTGAATGTCCGTTGTCACTGCTCTCGAGAGGGATCTGCTGGAGGATGGCCAAAATACCAGCTTTGTGTGCAACTGGTAAAGGGACCTATTAGTAATCGTTGACCTCTGTTATTGCCAACCAAAGGTTATATTACAAATGTATTGAGTTGAATTTTTGTTATTGACAAATACTTATTTTCCAACATCATTTACAAATAAATTCTTTAAAAATTACAATGTGAATTCCTGGATTTCTTTTCAATTCTGTCTCTCACAGTTGAAGTGAAACTCTGATGTACTTTCAGATCCTCTGTCTTTAGTTTAAGTGGGAGAACTTGCACAGTCGGTGGCTGACTTTTTTGCACCCACTGTATGTTCTTAAATCGGACTCTGAGGAGCACAGGGATGGCCTCCTGCTCTGTGGAGCTACAAGGACTGGCTCCTGCTGGGACTCTGAGGAGCACAGGGACTGGCTCGTGCTGGGACTCTGAGGAGCACCTGGGACTGGACTCCTGCTGGGGACTTGAGGAGCACAGGGGACTGGCTCCTGCTGGGACTTGAGGAGCATCAGGACTGGCTCATGCTCTGAGGAGCACAAGGACTGGCCTCCTGCTGGGACTCTGAGGAGCAGAGGGACTGGCCTCGGGCTGGGACTTCTGAGGAGCACAGGGACTGGGACTCCTGCTGGGACTCTGAGGAGCAAAGAGGACTGGCCTCGTGCTGGGACTATGAGGAGCACAGGGACGGGACCTCCTGCTGGGACTCTGAGGAGCACAGGGACTGGACTCCTGCTGGGACTCTGATGAGCACAGGGACTGGATCTGCTGGGACTCTGAGGAGCACAGGGACTGGCTCCTGCTGGGGACTTGATGAGCACAGGACTGGACTCCGCTGGGACTCTGAGGTGCACAGGGACATGACTCCTTGCTAGTCCAGAGTCAGGACTAAACATGGGGAGGCTGCATTTAAGATTTATGCAGCCTAAAATCTGGAAGAGTCTTCCTGAAAATGTGAGGACAGCTTCTGTCAGACAATGTTCAAATCAAGGTTCGAACAGTTCTGTTAGCTGTGAATAACTGGGGGGATTCTATCTTCTGTGTTTATGTGCCTTGTTCAGCACTTGAGTTGCCTTGTGTATGAATTTGTGCTATATAAAATATACATGTCCTTTCACTCGTCCTTACACCCTTTTTGCATTCTCTTACAGTTCTGTTCACTGCAGATTTGAATTATACATTTATAATGATTATAGAACCGACAACAGTGCGTATATATGTTGACGGCTCAGAAGGCCCGACAAAATCCGCCCAAACAAGGTCCTGGTGCTGGGGAACAGAGCCCTTAATGAAAGAGTGGGCTTCTGGACAAGGTGAAAGTGGTCGAGATCTGATATACACAGGGCTCTGTTGGATGCTACTTCTCGAGTAAACCTGGCCAATGAGGTTTACATGCAGAGAATGTGGGCTGAATGGTTACTTCGAAACCACTGTCACTGTTGACCCGGAAACAAACCGGTACTCAATGCTCCAACATCCACAAACGGCAGAATGCTATCACAGCTTGAGATCGATGTGGTACAACACAAGTTTGATGCCAAAGGTGCCACAGTTACTGAGGTCAGAGGGGAGGTCCCCACCAACTGCAACTCCCCAACCAGATATGGGCTCAATGCCCCAATGGAACCAATAACGCTGAACGATGGCAGGACTGACCTGAATGCTTATATTCATGGCTAAATTGGGCACGGGCATAAGACACCGGTTTACAGCGTTGTGTGAAGTACCCACATAAGGATCTCCATAGAAACGTGAATGCAGCAGTGAGGGCAATATCCTACCACCACAATCACTGAACCAATGAGCTGTATACACTTCTTGCAGCAGTGATCCTAGGGAGATGCTTGGCTATAAGAGCAACCATGGGAGCCATGGACTATACCCACCATGAAAAGACGGGTGGAGGCGGAGATCCAAGGTTGAGCTCGGAGAGAAGTGAGGTCATTACACGAGGCCAGAGAGGTGCAATGAAGAAGACAGTACCCAGAAAGTACAGCCAGATAAACAATACCTGAAGCACTCGAAACTGCCAACAATTGCTCCAAGCCTGCCAGCCGCTTCAGTGGGTACACTAAAGGAGATTGAAGCAGAAGGGTGAACAGGCTGTTCGCAACACAACCTGCGAAGGTGTTACGCTCAGTGGCAGGGTAACAACAGGGTAACAAACTGGGTAGCATCGGGGAGAAGACCTCCGAGGCGGAAACTGAACAGTTCTGGAAAGTACATTTGGGAGAAGGATGCAGCACATAACAGCAGTGCACAATAGGCTGGTGTCCCTGAGAGAGGACGCACAGCCACCTCCCAGAACGAACTCAGTTACCATCACAGCAGGCAGTATCGGAAAGAGTCTCAGGTATGAAAAATACGGACAGCACCTGGCCCTGATTATGGTCCATGCCTACTTGGCTAAGGACACTCACATCACTAATGAGCGCCTCGCAGCACAAATGGACCGCTGCTGAGAGATGGTCTTCACCCATAATGGCTAACCGAAGGGGGCGAAACGGTCCTGTTCATGCAGTCCCCTCCAACTACCGGCCAATAACTTGTCTCTCCACACATGGAAGCTCATGTCAGGTATCTTTGCGGCTTAAGATAAGTGGGATATGGAACTATTCATGTAGCACAGCACAGAAGGGCATTGGTAGGGGGACAACAGAGGAGCCATACACCAGCTCCTTAGTGACACCAGAGGGAGCCAAACACCAGCTCCTGGTTGGACCTGAACAGAAATGTAGAAGGATGGTGACTCGGAGGACAAGGTGAGTCCACACAGAAGGGATCTCACTCCCAGAGGAACAATAGCAGACGTTCGAGGACAGTTACAAGTATCTCGGTATACACAGGCTATATGGCAACCCTCGAAACAGGCAACGAGAAAAGCGGCAACTGCAAATACCTCAGCGAGTAAGGCAGGTCTAAGAAGCCGGCTCAATGGCAGTACAAGGTCGATGAGATCTATTCCTGCTGTAAATCTGTTTTTTGATCCAGTGTGCCCAAGTGTAGCTGGCACAGGTTTAAACCATTTTCTGATTGTCTTTTTCTTTAAAATAACTTATGTGGAACTATTTGGTAATTATTTTAAAACGTGAACTTAAATCTATTCCTTAAACAGACTAATATAGTCTTTGTTCAAATGGAACCACATTATTATCAAATTAATAAGAGGTTTTGTAATTAATTAATTGAAATTAATCGCATTTTACTCGCATATAAATATTTGAAAGTGAGAAGTATTTTTTTCGCATGGATTTTTTGTATACCATTGATTGAATGACTAAATACAGACTCTTACACATTTTATTTTTGTCCAACCAAGTCCAACAGACCAGTGCAACTTTTGCCATTCGGAGTAGCAATGTGGTCAGCTTCGTTTATGTTGTTTGTGGTTTGTTGTTGTCAAAAGCATAGATGTTAGCCGGTCCTCCAGTATAATCGATCCCCCGAAACTCATCCAATAAGAAATGTTTTGCTGTTTTGTTTTGTTTTTTACGGGTTATGTTTGTATAATTAATTAATTGTAAATAATGCGTTAAAGCCCCAGACTGTTTTTTGGCAATAAATGTAAATATCCTTCCAAGTATTGAAATGGGATGCTGATAATCCATCTAACTTTTATTGGTTTTGTGTGTGATTCAGTAATGGTGATTGTGCTACTGCGCTACGCTCACGTGGTTGAGAAGCACCAGAACTGTCTGCTGAACACTGCCAGTCTGTCCACCGGCTGGATCTGCGCCGCTGGCCTCATCATGGTCGGGAACTTCCAGGTAACACACACCACATCATGCAAGTCATGCGTTTTTTTTGTTCTTTGTTTTACTGGCTTACCACTTTTCCACTTGGAGTACAACATGCAGATAATGGCTCTCATACTTATTCCAATAAATACTTTCAATCACAGATTTTTACGATTACATTATTTGAATATTTCCTACAGGGACTCGGCTAGAAATACACCTCATCCTAATCTCGGTTGATCATTACAATTTGAAAAGACTGAATGATGATTTTGATCAATATTTGACAAAGTGCCAAGCCCTAATCTCACAAGTTTATCCTCATAGCATAACACAACACCTATAAATGTACATGAGAGCTGGAGCACTCTCCATGTCAATGCGCCATCTTTAAATACATTGGTTGATCAGGGACAAAAAAGATGTGAGAATCGCATTTTTGTTTTCACAGGGCTACTTAAATTGTTGCTTCCATTATGCCCTGACAAGTTTGATATAGAAACCACGGAGGACCACAGTTATGTAAAAGAACGACCCGAACAAAAATCTTGTAGAAAAAGAATTATGTAAAAATATAGAAACCACCAGAAACCAACTTTTATCAGACTAAAGGATTCTTTCCTTGGCGGCCTGGTTCGAATGACTAGGAGTTGGGGACCACCGTCAAAAACGACATATTATCCTTTAAAGCTACTGTAGTACCAAAGGACTGCAATATATGATCTCAACGCAAAATGGGAGTAAAAACTACACAGTGTACCTTTTAACATTTGCTGTGCAACAACGTGTAATAGGACCGGGAGCCCACTGGAGGTCCTGGATGATGGTGGTGCCCAGGAAATGAAATTACTCCACAGAGGTGATGGGGGTCCATCAGGGAGGGCGGGGGGACTGTGCGCTTCCTGAAGTCCACAATCATCTCCACTGTCTTCTGGGAGTTCAGCTTCAGGTTGTGACCACTGCACCAGGACATCAGCCGGTCCACCTCCCTCCTGGTGTCGTCCGCGAACTTGATGAGCTTATCGAAGTCGTGACTGGAGGTGCAGTGGTTGGTGTACAGGGAGAAGAGCAGGGGAGAAAGAACAAAGCCCTGTGGGACTCCTGTATTAATAATTCAAGAATCTGAGACATTTTTCCCCAGACGCACACTTGCTGCTTCCTGTCTTGTCAGGAAGTCAGTGATCCACCTGCTTGTGGAATCGGGCACGTTGAGTTGGGAGAGCTTGTCCTGGAACAGGGATGGCAGGATTATTTTGAAGGCAGAGCTGAAGTCCATGAACAGGACCCTGGCGTATGTCCCCAGACTGCAAGATTGAGTGGAGGGCCAGGTTAATGGCATTGTCTGCAGATCTGTTGCCTCAGTAGGCGAAATGCAGGGGTCCAGGTGGGTGGAGGTGGAGGACTTGAGATGAGAGAGGACCAGGCGCTCAAATGACTTAATGACTACAGATCTACAGACTACAGGTCTGCAGTCATTAAGTCCAGTTATCCTGGTCTTCTTTGGGACAGGGACAATGATGGAGGATTTGAAGCAGGCTGGGACATGGCAAGACTTCAGAGAGGTGTTCAAAATGTCAGTGAAGACAGGAGTTCACTGGCGCAGTGTCTCAGAGTTTCAGGTGAGACAAGGTCTGGTCCGGGGGCTTTACGGGGGTGCAGCCTTGAGAAGAGTCGCTTGATATCTTCTGAAGCTATTGTCAGGGTGGAGCCAGAGCTGATGGGTGGATCGTTAGAGGAGTGGGGGGTGGGAGAGGTGTCCGGGGCGGGGTCAAAGCGGCTGAAAAATGGGTTCAGCTCGTCAGCTAGCTGGTGGTCGTTAGCACAGAGGAGGGCTTTCAGCTTGCAGTTTGTAATTTCCCGAAGGCCCTTCCAGACAGAAGCATGGTCGTTCTTTGCAAACTGCTTCTGTAGTTATTCTCTGTGCCGGGACTTGGCTGTTTTCCAGTTTGTTCCTGAATGGATATTTAGCCACTTTGTAGCTGCAGCAGTCCCTTTGAAAGACTCCTTTGCTTGTCTGAGCTGCCTGAGTTTAGCAGTGAACCAGGGTTTGTTGTTGTTATAGATGACCCTGGTCCTTGTTGGAATGATGCTATCCTCACAGAAGTGAGTGGTCAGAGAAGCCTAGAGCTGCGCGGGGCACATCTCGAAAAGCTCACAGTGGTGTAGCAGTGATCCAGTGTGTTCTCCTCTCTGGTCGGGCATGTGATAAACTGTCTGTAATTGGTCAGGTCCTGGCCCAAGTTTCCCTTATTAAAATCCCCCGGATAATAATCATAGAATCTGGGTATAAATGCTCCATACACAGTACATGCTCTGTGAGTACTCTCTGAGCCTCGCGCGTGTCCGTGGATGGCGGTATGTAAACAGAGGCAAGAATGAATGAAACAGACTCACGTGGAGAGTAGAACGGCTTGCAATTAATGAAAATATATTCCAGAGCAGGAGAGCAGTGCTTGGAGATCACTGTCACATCGTTACAGCAGTTTGTATTAATGTAATAGCATAGTCCGCCGGAATCCGTGTATCATTCGTTCTTTTGATTTTCTAAATAAAACCAACATTGAAAAAACAAATAACGAGGGATGTTTTTGATTCCCAATATTTGAATTTAATGCAAAATTGAAATATCGGTTTGTTTTTGGTTTTCTGTGGATCTAATTAAAACGAAAATGCAGTAAACCAATAATGATCGTCTAAATTACTGTTTGCGAATTCCATTTGAAACACAAGAATCCCCCGGAAGTGATTCGCAAGTGCGCACCCCGCAGGTAAACAGTGGAGTAGCGGTGGAGATGAACTAAATGATGGGTGCGTTGGAAGACTTTGCAGATACAGCGATAGAATGCTTCTAAAACATTGAAACATATGCAGAAATATCAACCACGTTACACCGACTAGGTTTGTCCAAATGTCAAGTCATCAGCTGAGTCATGTCCCTTCTTTTTGATACAGTGGTTAATCACGAAAGCAAACTTTTTGAAGTGGCGTTATTTCATCATATAGGTCTCACAGAAAGGTATTCTGAGTAAATGTATTCATTAAACATGGATCATGTTCCTGCCCAGTATATACATACATATATATTTTTTTTACATATCAGCCGCCTTAAAACTTGCTGCTCCATCTCTTTTTCCTTGAATAATTGTATTGCAACATTCAAGAGGGATTCTGTCTCCCGAGGCTCAGGAATCACAGCTTGTTGTGTTTTGGCAAATTATGAAGGCCAAAGACTAAATTCATCATGAATGTAAATCTTCTGTGTGTCTGTTCCAGTGTAAATATTTTTGATTAGTTTGTTCCCAAATTAAAATACACTTGGACACAATTCTGTACATTTTTTTTCTAAATTGTGTTGAATCGCAATGGAAAACCCGTTAAAACAAATACTAAACTATTAGTGGATTATGTATCAATAGATTTATGAATTAGGAAATGACATTCTTAACTAAACAAGACTGTAAAATGACAAGTTGTGTGTTTGAATGTACCTTTACAGAACAACTTACACCTCAGACTTCCTTTCAGCAGCAACATGGGTCCAATTTTATTTAGACTTTACTAAGGACTTACATGCAAGAACAGGATCCAGAGCTAAGAATGAAAGAACAATACAAAAAAAAAAAGCTGTGTTAAAAAGACACATAATCACATATTTACAGCAAGTCACACATACAAAGAAGCCAGTGACTCCAAAGTTTAGAAGTGAACCTGACTGAGCTGATGTAAGGGCAAACCAGGGACTGTACAATACTATTAGGTAACATCATGACTCTACACATGACTGATAGTAGCAGTGACGTAGGAAAGGAGCGCACCCTGCACTCAGCAAACATCTGACTGGACGACTGTGTCTGGGATCTTCAGCAACGTCCTCATTGAGTCATAGGAAACTGTTCACCTCTGCAGACTGACTGCTTGTAGCTCCGCCACAGTTGGTCTGTGAATAAAGGAGCCCAAAAAGACTGGAACAAGGAGGTTTTTACATTCACAGAACACATGTTAGACTTCCTAACCAGCATGTTAGATTGACCATACAGTTTACATCTCTCTGTGAGGTCACTGCGTGTGTAATGCCCATTAAGACCAGGACAACTGGATTTAAGAACAGTTTTTACACTTTCAAATGTGACAGAACATAATGTACACTGATGAGTACGTGCTTTTTCATGCAATGATTCTAATTTTGTAACATAAATTTACAATGATAAACACGAGTTGAAAGTTTAAAATGTAAAGGAACAAAAAGGAGATTTGTAGATCAGTTATTATTAATTTTATTGCATTGACATAAACACATCCATCTTTGCAGATCACTGGTACAGACCAGGACCAGCGTGAGAGCTTTGCAGATCACTGGTACAGGCCAAGGCTGGGAGTAGTGTGAAGTCTGAAACCTTTACCTGCTGCACACCCAGTGAGATCTAAAACAGAAAAGTGGGTTTAGAACAGACATAGTTATTACTTGTTATAACTTAACTATCTTATAAAGTCAGCAGAAGAGAAATAGCAACCACCAAACAGAAAGATGCTATGCTAGTCTTCTATCAGGACAGGAACTCAAGCTGAACATGAGCCCAGCGGCTTTGACTGTTTCAAACCTGCAGTCTTTCTGACTGTTTCAAACCTGCAGTCTTTCTGACTGTTTCAAACCTGCAGTCTTTCTGACTGTTTCAAACCTGCAGTCTTTCTGACTGTTTCAAACCTGCAGTCTTTCTAACTGTTTCAAACCTGCTGTCTTTGACTGTTTCAAACCTGCAGTCTGAGGGCTCCTCGTTTCTCTTCATAAGCCTGAAGCATCTAGCTCTAACTACTGTCCCTCGACAATAATTGAGAATGAAGCAGAAACAAAGCACAATTGAATGGTTAAGGTACATCTAGCATCATCTTTTATTTACTAAAATTTAGCATGATTACTTTCACCAATACACAAACATATCATGTTCTTATATAATATGAAAGTCTATAACATACATTTATAATAATAAAGCACCCAAATTAGGTGCATTTGTTACATGTGTAAGTGTTTCATG